ATATTGTTATTATGAAAAATTCAAGAGGAATATAGGTCATTTCTACCATTAGATTAAAAAATATATTTATTACTTAACACAGCTGAAGCAGTTGAAGGCCCTAGTGTAGCAGTCCCACGTGCCGATGATGAAGATTTCATGGCCTTCTTCAGCAAGTCATCAGCATCAGAGACCGTAGAGTCACCCGAAGATGGTGTGCCTAGTCTTGGAGATGCAGACTTCGACCTTATATCAGAAACCGCATCTCAGCTGTGAGTTTTCTGAGCAAGCATTTGCACCATACTACTTAATGGAGTTATGGATCTTTAGATTTTAATACAGATGCACAAAATGAGACAAGTGTTAAAGCAGTAGCAGAAAGGGCAAGATGTCCATCTGTGTTCATTTACTGTGACTGTTAATAACAATAGTTATAATGCATGACACTTCAGATAGTTTATACACTTTTATTTCTGACCCACTGCTGCATTAGATCACTGGAGGATGACGAATTGTAAGTGATTCAGATGCAATGGATAGGCTGCACTATTTTTTCCTTTAAGCCTGTATGCTTTTTTTGTTATAAAAGTGTTTGTCACTCTTATGGGACATGCAATGCACAAGCATGATGGTCTTGTGTACTTTCCCATCCCTATATCTAGGAAAAAAAAATTACATGAATGTAAAAACAATGATACTATCAATGAATATGTTAATAATAACACCATGAATGCATTATTAAGAAGCATTTTTTTTTTTCTTTCTTTTTTTTTTTTTTTTTTTAATATTCACATTTTTAATGAGAAATCTACATTCTTAGTGTCGTGAAGCGCCGTAGCGTTCGGGTGACGAGACGGCAAGCCACTTCCAGGAATCCACTCAAGGCCTTGGCTGCCCGAGAGGATATCAAGTCGGAGTACACAGAGGTCAAGTTGGGCATTGGGGAGAAGGAACTGAAGAGGATGAAGGTGGAAGAATGTAAGTATATCGTTGAGAACAAGTATGGTAGTTTTTCTCGTACTTTTAATTTTGAAAGTATTTAAGTTTTAATACTTGTTTAAATGGAACTCCTACCCACTTTGGAGTTGTGTTTACGGGCAAGACTAAAGAAAATCTTTTACTTGAACAGTGTCGAAAGGATCCTCATTAGCAGTAGAGGCACTTGCTGGACTGGCATCAAAGGAGAACTTTTCTGCTGTGGCCCTAAAGAAGGTGGAGAACAATCCTGTGGTACGAGAGATGGCCCCATACACATCACTTATGTTGCTGCAAGTCAAGGGCCGACGTCATGCTCAAACTAGATTAGTGAAGCCTTCTGTGTCATGTGTTAATCAGGGAGATGATTTTATCCTTATAACACCCACAGATGTAAGTGGATTACTATGTTATTCTTTTAGTTTTTGAAGAGACAATAATTTTGTACTGAAATTCTGGTGATGACTTGAAAATATGGAAATTTGATATACCTTCAATCAGTAATGAAGCATTCATTATGATTTATTCTTTTGCCATAGGTTTTCCACTACAAAGGAGAATTTGCTAATGTGATAGAGAGAGCCAAAGCCTCAGAAATTGCGCAGTATATAGTCCAGAAGAAGGACATGGGAATAGGTTCTGCTGTTCGGAATGTGATAGAGCTTGACGAAAATTCACCTAGTGGCAGGAAGGCCAAATTCTGGAGACTGCTTGGTGAGAACTTTACTTTAGGTAGCATAAACATAACCTATTCTAACCTATTGGACCTCTGTAATATTTTGTGTATGGACATAACCACACCACAGACATAGAGATGGATTCTAGATTGAAGATTCAGTATAACTGTCTCTAATACATGTCTATTCCAGGTGGAGATGAAACAAGTTCAGGGCAGTTATGTGGCATGCCAGATGAGGATGAGTTAATTGAAGCATCCTTGGTGGCTGCAAATAAAGTTTATGAGGTACAGGAAGACTCACTGGTTCCAATTGCTGACTCTTGGGGCCAGATGCCAAAGATAGAGATCTTGCAATCAGATAAGGTATATGACTGTTATTTTTAAGTTTCACAACCATTCTGTGTACTTTGTATAGAACATGATAATATGGTTCTTCCTTCTAGTGTGATTATATTTTTTGAATTGTGTCATGAGATGTAGACCATGAAAACATAATGATTTTATGCTTAGGAACAATTACATAAATATAAATACCTACATGTACCTCTCTTTTTCTAGGTGCTAGTGTTTGACTTCGGTCCAGAGCTGTACATTTGGGCAGGAAAACGTGCTTGTGGAGATGAGCGAAAGGTTGGGCTGGCTCTCGGAAGGGAACTGTGGGAAGAAGAATATGATTATTCTGAATGTGATATTAACCCCATAACACCGATGGTACCTCTCTCTCAGGCTGCACTCAAAGGTACAAATCTTTATTTTCATAAACACTATGTAGTATAGTATGTAGTATCTCCTTTGATAATGTTCTTATTAGATTAGTAATTACAGAAAAAAAAAAGTTTTTCATTTTTTTCTTCATAATGCTAATTTGCACTATCTATATACAGGTATACGACCAGAGTGGGGTCTTTGTGCCAAGCTTACGGAAAACGTTGAAACTATCGTCTTCAAAGAAAAGTTTATTGATTGGCCTGACTTAGCCCAACAGTCACGCATCAAGGTATAAATAAAAGTTTATATGTTCATTTTCTCAAAATGTATCTAAGTATGTGATGTTTATCAGTCTTTTTGGATTTTTCATTATAAAAATATAATGCCATTATATTTTCTTCACTCCAGGAGGTCAAGAAAGATATGGATCGCCACGTAGCGCCAGTGTGTGAATTGCAGCCATGTGATGCACGGGTGATGCTAGAGGAGCTTCCACCTGAGCCTGATCTGGTGCTGGAGATGAGTCACTTGGGACGCGGTGTGGAATACTACGACGAGGAGGTGCGCTAGTGGTGACAACAGGAGCCCTGACAGCTGGCTTGGCTGTGCTCCATGCTGCTCTACCATATTCCTTCTATATTCTATACATGCGACTGTGGTTGTATCAGTGATCTTCTAGTGTAGACTGCAGTTCTTCTGGACCTCTCTGTACGTCAGTGAACATCTGTTGTTGACTGCAGCTCTTAAAAGTGATTTATGTTTGCACACTCATAGAAGACCATCCTGTGCCTTGTTGACATTGGCTTTAGACTCCTCCTGCACACTGTTGAACAGTGTCTTCAGTCGCTTCAGTCGCTGCTAGTCAGTGGCTTACACTGCCCGTAGACTGCAGGAGGCACCTCTTTCTTTACCATCACATAGCCGTAGAGAACACAAATTTATGTACTGCCTTTCTTTAGTTCTTTATTATTTCCATCGTGAATTTAGAAGACTGTATTTGTGAACTACAAGCAGTCTGTGTTGTCCCAGCACACAGGGTTCCTCCCTGAGAACCTAGTCAGCTCTCCTAGGTCCCATGTGGAGTTGCCTTTGGACTTTTGGTCTTCACATATCCTTCCCAACTTTTCCCACAATGCCCCTTCAACTGGTGACCTGTGCTTGGATGCCTTGTAGATCAAGTAGCCCTTCATTCAGAATCCTATCCTCTGTGTTTGTATAATTAGTTTACATGTATGGTTCTTCATACATGCAACTGACCCAACAACATGTCATGTCTTTTCTTTTCCTTCTGTTTTTTTTTTCTTTTCTTTTCTTTTCTTTTCTTTTTTTTCCCATACCTATTTTTTTTTCTTCAACCAACCAGTCCTGTTTTCTCCTTTTTAATACTTATCTACCACCTTACATTTTTATCTAATGAAATAAAAATATTAATTCTGGCACTAGTTATGTTTTCTGAGTTGACTTATAATTTTTTTTTCTTTTTTAAGATTTTTAATATACAGTTCTGCTTTGTTTAACTCATTAATTAAAACAAGATTTTTAAATATAAGATTAAATCATTAACTTTTTTTTTTCTGATTTTGAGTACCATTCCAAGTGACCTTAAAAGTTCTCCTCCTGATACCTTGGCTAACTTCCCTTACTCCCTCCCTTCCACCCATCCCGCGTCACCTCAACTCTGCTGCTGGTAACATCGCTGACTGCATCATCCATCAAAAAATGTTGCTAACTCCCTGCCATGCCGTTCAACAACACGACCATCTGTCCTTGCAAACTCAACACTGATGGGTGACATTTGTTCCTGTGATTATCGCCGTGGGAATCAATCTCGATATTCACCTATGCAACTTCAGGAGCGTCGCCTTCTGAACATCTCGACAAATGATTACAAGATCTGGCATGTGTCAGAATACGGCAAAGTGCTCATGGATGAGAAAGCCCGCAATCATCTTCATGAAGGGGACACATATGTTGTCCGCTGGTATTACTTGATCACGGCAACTGGTAGGACTCTCAAGGTAAGCAGTGCCTCTACTTGTCTCTTTACACTGGGAAAAGTTTCTCTGATGTTGAGTGAAATGATTAATTTTGGAATAGGTATGCTATATACCCAGAGTAGCCATTATTATCATTAAAGTAATTTGTAGGTAATAATCTTTTTCACAGTACAGCCAAAACTCGGTGTACAAATAAAATTTATGCAGATTTTTATTTATGCCAAATTGAGTATTTTTATGAATCAGATCAAGAAAAGAAGACATTAGTAAGCCACAGTAATTTTTCTAGAGATTTACACTGATCTGTAAATTCTTTGCATTGTTTTTAAAAATAGATTAATTAACTCAGTGGGATTAACACAACTATTTGCCTTTCTCAGGGTGAGCCATCCAAGCACAATGTGACTGGCAGGTCACGTGTGGCTTACTTTTTCTGGCAGGGCAAAGACAGCTCTGTGTCAGATAAGGGTGTTTCAGCTCTCATGACAGTGGAATTAGATGAAGAGCGTGGACCTCATGTTAGAGTCTCCATGAACTCTGAGCCACCAGCCTTCCTAAACCTCTTCCAAGGAAGCCTCATCATACACAGAGGTCGACGTGATGAGGAAAAGAATAATCAGAATTGGAAGTTGTTCATCGTCAGGGGAGAGTTGGAGAATGAAGGACATCTTGTGGAAGTAGAAGTGAATTCCAGCTTTTTACGATCAAGAGGTTGTGTGGTTCTTCTCAACACCAACACAGGCATCATCCATCTTTGGCATGGTGCTAAGGCACTAAGACACACACGAAAGGTAAGTCATAAAAGTGATGATTGTCTGCTGCCTGCATGATTAGTTATGTGTACAGTACAGTCAATTTTATTAGGTAAAAATAACAATGATTTTTGTAATAGGTTTCATTTGTCTTGAAATCACAAGCACTTGAAAAACAAACTAAATGCTTATTGTTCTTCAGGTTGGTAATATAACAGCACAGAAGGCCGTAGAGACTTCTGACAGTGAGATGGGATGGACTCCAGGTATCACAAAGAAACTCAAAGAACAGTTTGAAGGTGCCGAGTCTCGAGACTTTTGGGAAGGATTTGGAGGATCCTCGACTAAAAACAAGCATTTCTCCCTCTTGGAGGATGAACACTCCTATGACTGGACTCCTCGAGTATGGCACATGGTAGCAACACATGATTCCTTCCAAGCTAATGAGGTCATATGCTCGTACCGGGCAACATCAGTCCCTAACCCTTTGCCAGTTCTACAATCAGACCTTTACTCAGTGGCCCAGCCAGGTATGTCGACAGTCATGTAAAGAATTAGATTAATGAAGACACAAATTTATCAATTTCTGTACAATGAATAATAAATGCCTGATACATAAGATATAAAGATGAAGAATGTTCATGTTTTGTATTTGGTTTGCAGCCTTATTTGTGGTTGATGGAGGACACAGAGTGTGGGTGTGGCAAGGGTGGTGGCCTGATGAGTCAGTTGAGGGTCAGGACTCTAACACAACTGGCTCTGCAGTGTTGCGGTTTAACTTTGCACGTCGAGCTGCACTTGAAACAACCCTGAATTATTGCAAGCTTA